CACCCCCTACCCCAGCACTGACACCCCCTGCACCAACTTCCCTGGGACCCCCAAACCCCCTTCCCGGCTCTCCCAGCTCTCCCAGTTCCCCCTTTCGTTGACCCATGGACACCCCCAGACCCCCCAAATCTCCGTGTCCCCCCCAGTTCTCCACTCCCTGCGTTACCTGGACGTGGCGGTGACGGAGCCCAGCCCAGGGATCCCTCAATTCCTGTCCATGGGATACGTGGACGGGATCCCCTTTGTGCGCTACGACAGCGAGCGGGACCGGCTGGAGCCGCTGACGCCGTGGATGGCGGCCGGAGCCGAGCCGGGATATTGGGATAGACAGACCCAGATCTACGAGTGGAACCGATTCATTGATGCCGACAACCTGGAGATAGCACGGGGCTGGTACAACTGGAGTGGGGGTGAGTGGGGGGAGCCGGGGAATGGGGGATGTGTGGGACTGGGATGGGATGTGTGGGGCTGGGATGTGGATCCAAGGTGCTCCAAGGGGCTGGGATGAGGCTCTGTGAGTCTCCATCAGACTCTGGGGCTCCATAGGGCTGGAATGGGGCTCCTTGGGGCTGGGACACAATTCCAGGGTCTCCATGGATCCAATCCCACCCCCCAGGTCTCCACACGGTGCAGCAGCTTTCTGGCTGTGACCTCCTGTCCGACGGGAGCGTCCGCAGAACCCTTCGGTACGGCATCGACGGGCGGGATTTCATCTCCTTCTCCCCGGAGAACGGGACCTTCGTGGCGGCCGATGGAGCTGCCCGGATCACCCAGAGGAAATGGAGATCCGATGGGTACGAGGCTCTTCAGCATGAGCTGGGACAGAGCTGTGTGGAATGGCTCCAGAAATACATCGGATACGGGCGGGAGGCGCTGGAGCGCAAAGGTGAGGGAGACAGAATTCCCATGGGAATGAGGGATTTGGGAATGTGGGATTTGGGAGGGTGGAACTGAGGAACACGGGAATTCCCGTCAGAATTCCATGGATGAATCTGAGTCATCCAACTCCCATGGGAATTCC